TGCCTGGTCACCTAACTGCCTTCCCCTGCCGGCTTGGTTGCCCCTAACTGCCTTCCCCTGCCGGTCTGGTCGCCCCTATGTGCCTCTGCTTTGTCCCGGAAGGACTTCCAGAAGGATGTCCAGAAGATGTTCAGTCTAATTAGCATAATACCCTTTTATTAGTATAGATTATCATTTTATTTTATTTTGACATTCCAATTGCAATGTATTTTCATTGTACGTAGCATGGGGAATATAAAAAATATCTTAAAAGCATAAAGAATACAATAAAAATTCTTTTTTTAATTTATTGAATATTTTCATCTCACAATCTCTTTTCTCTTTGCATTTGAATTTTCTCAAACACTATTTTATGCCACCCCAGTTTTTTTCTTAGTCTATTCTCTTCACTGGGAAACCACTTAACTGGGCTAGAGAACACGGGGTGATCAGGGCAAGATGAAATAGTGTTAATGTCATGGAAGCTTCCAGCACTTACATGAAAACTCAATGTTATCATTGCACCTAGAAGTGATCTGGCTTGGAGAACCAACTCCCACTAATCACACAATTAAGAGCCAGCAAGTCAATTATTGATCTGCAAAGAGAGAAAAAATCTCCCCAAAAGACCAGAAAGTTTGCACCAACTAGTCAGATATTCTTCTCCTGTAAGACATCATGGGAAGCTAAATTATGATCAGTAATTTGCTTGAGGTAGATGGTCTTGAGAAGTGTCATCGAACTATAAAGACTAGGGAGTCCTGGAGATGTTCTGACAAATGGTACTTCTAGACACTTTTTAAAAATTATTCCTGGCTAACCATCTCCCTTCTTTGGATATTGTCTTCCTATAAAAGGGTATCATAAAATTGATTAAATTCAAATTGCTACATCACAATCCTATTCCAGTTCTGCTTCTCTCTGAGCCTCCTGAATCAGTGTTTTACGTGTTATCAGGACTTTGCAGATACCTGCATTTACAGGTATCTCCTGGTTTACCCATAGAGAGTGCTAATTTAATCTGTTACATGTAGATTTTTCCAGACTAACTCATTGAAGGTGATATTTCCAACTTCTTTGTGGACACCTTACGATTGTACCCTGCATTGATTGTATAGGGCTACCTGTATACTCTTCCTGGTAATAGAAGTGTTGAAACTCCTTTTAAATAATTCAGGATATGTTGCAAGCATTTTCCATGGGGAATTTTGACATACATGACTCAGTAACTTCAGAGAATACAGCATCATCTTTTAAAAAATCCAGAACTAGACAACTGAAAACTTAATTTTGGGGGCAAATACTTCTTTGTTTTAATTACTTCCCAGCTTTCCAAAGCAAATGGGCCTCACACTATTTCCTTAAGCCAAGAAAACATCATGAAGTGGAACTTTGGCAAAGCTTGGATTCATTAAGGGATGTTTCCACTGAAAACTACAAATATAAAAACAATCTTTATGCTTCATTTGCCTCTACCCTACGGATAGATCTATTTACTTCGAATTTTAGTGTAGATTCTGGGTTGTGTATACTGCTTTATGCTAAAGGAACATCCGGACTCACATAGCTATAAAGTTTCTATAAGCAATTCAAAGCACATTTTTCTAAGCCAAAGTCACTACACAATAGTCATTAACTATAGTTCTTAGGAAAAGTGTGGATTATAATTTTTTATAAATATACCATTTTTAGGTGCTACATTTTCCCCCTAACAGTCCATATTTTCTAATCACTCAGTACAGTTTAACTACAATTTTAATAAAAGAAAACAATATACAAAAATCCTAACTAAAGCAGGGGACAAAGAAGATGAAAATTACCTTTTCTTTGTACTATCAAACTCCCTACTTGGGGAGCATCTTTTGATTTTGCTCACAATGGCTACATTTCTAAAGTTGCTTCCCAAACTGGAACTACCACCTCTCATCTTCCATGAAGTTATAAACCAGAAGCAGGTGATGCGCGTGGGCAGGTTTGGTGGCTGAGGTGGGGCTGTGGGAGTGGGTGATGGGTCCGCACATGGACTCTCTACTCCCTCGAACTTCTGAGAAATCCCAAGTAAGTTGTAGTTGAAAACATGAGAGTAATTTCAAAAGTAAATGAAATCAGCTAAATAAATTATGAAATATAAGTTATCACTATTAACCTTGAGGAATTATTTTAAAACACACCAGTTGGTGTTGGTGTTGGTTTTATTTTTGTTTGTTGTTGTTTTGACATATAAAAAGAAATAAGAAAACTATGCTCACATTGGCACACAGCATCAGATAATAACACAGTGATTCTGTCCCCTCCCCACCATCATGACGTGATTATGTTTATACTTTCCAACTTTGCATCACTTGAGAAACAAATCTCATCATTTTTATTATAATTTTGGATAATTGATTGTGAAATTTTTGTCTTAGTGCCTATGATTCTTGGAAAATAATGTCAAAACCAAAGTATTTCTCTCCTATTCCAACAGTCTCAATCTATTTTCCATCTCTTTCCCACACATATCTCCCCTTCCTTCTCTCACTCTTCAGCATCTTTCTTCAGCAAGTCCAGAATTTCCATGAGACTGGCAAAGATGATCTAAGTCCTGCATTAAAAATAAAATAAAATAAAACAGCCCTCCCATGATGAAGGGCAGATCCAGGCTGTGGTGAGTGATACATTTGCTTGCTGCAGCCCCACCCATTTTAATGGGCTATCCATCAGCTCTTTGTAATTTTTTATACCCAACTACATGACCCCCATTAAGATCCTCTCCGACTTAGTCCTCATCTTGGCACTGTGCCTCAGGGAGACACTGCAGCCCTGTTTACAACAGTTCTCCATCTGGTTCTGTAGGGAGAGTAACATTAGATATGTTAAGCAACCCAGCATGAGCTTTTACCACCCCACCAGGCATCCTTGTGATCCATAAACATTATCTGGGATACAGAAGGCAAAATTAGGAGAAAATATTGAATTTGGGAAAGAACATAAAAGAAAAGCATTAGAAAAAGAATTAAACCAATAACAATATTGGGTAACAATCAAAAAACATAAGAAGGGAGATAGTTTTGCCCCCCTAACTAATACATTAAAATGTGTCGTTTCAAGTACTCAAACTAGATGCATGATTTGGCTTTCTTTCTCTTAGCTCCGGCAACAGCTAGAAATATGGAGCTGACAGTTTTTACTTCATAAATTGAGTTCCCTGATCCCATTTTTATTACAAGGAAAAAAACAAAACAAACAAAAAAAACAACTTAAAGATCTTCCCTCAAATGAGATTATCTTTCCCTCTGGGTTTTCATCGATTTATAATGGCATCGATATTTCATATATTTGCTAGAACACCATGTTCTAATGCTTAGTCTGGCAGAGGCTTTCCTTTGTGTATGACAGGATATCCACCAAATCTTCCAATTACGGAGAGAACTGTGGTTCTGAGAAAATCCATAGGTGTCCAGCTGCCAGGGAGACAGGAGATGGAGGTGTGAAAATGGGTGGCCACTGGGACAGGACTTTTCTCTAAAGCCTGAAATGAAGCCACAAGTCTGCACATTGTGGAGTTTAAGCGGTTACGTAACACATTGGGAGTTAATTATTCAGTCGTTCTCTTTAGCCCACATTCCCTTTAGGTTAGCTGCTCCCTGGAGCTGAGTGTTGTCATTTCACTGAATTGCAGCCTCGTTGACGATGGCTTTTTGTCTGAAAGGGATTGGCCTTTCAGAGAAACCGTATCTGTTCAAGTTTCTAAATAACAAGTCCTTGGCTGCCTGTGATTCACATTGCTTTGCCATTGATTTTCGACAGTGGTCGATGACACATTGAGGCAAAGACAGGTCTTCTCTGTCAGGTACACCCTGTCAAAAGCCTGACTCCCTGCTAGTTACAGTGGGTGTTCCATTGTAAGGCTGCTGCTAGCTGCCTTTTGCCCCATCCCTGCCTGAAAATCATATCATCTTCTCAAAAGTCAATGAAAGGTCCCAAGCTGCTAAGGCAGCTAAACAAATCTGCTAACAATGACAGCCTTGCTGGGGAGGAATGCAGGAGAAATGAACCCTGGACGCCTCAGAAAGCATTCTGGGGAACAGTGCACCCCACCAAAGCCACGCTCTAAAATTCCACCTGATGTGAGGCTGGACAGGCCATGCTTTGTGACTCGGGTCAATGGCTCAAGTGTAAACAG